GTCGGCTCGAGCGTGCCACAGACGACGTCGTCCGCTTTGGTAACCCAGGTTCGGGAAAAAATATTATAGTTCGTCCTAGATCTGGCGCTACCTTGGGCGTCAGTAGTGACTTACGTGTGGGTTTGGTTGCGCACGTTCGAGGTACCCACCTCATTCGTTTTTCAAGGCGCGCCATGTTCTAGGAGTGGGATAAAGTGAGGTCGATTGGGGACGCAAGTCCTGCCAGGGGTGAAGCACCCTTCTTCACGGCCCACATGACCAAACTTCAGTTAAGAGGAACCTCAAATCCGAACTGGATTGGCACTACCCTTTTATTCTTGGCATTCAAATCCGTCAAACTGTCATGAACTAGAGTTAGGTAGCATTTTCTTGGCTTGCTAATACCTTACCAAGAATTGCCATTCTCGCAGTGACTACAACGACCGAAAGGTTGTGGACTTTCCTCTGGACATAAGAACTACTTCATATTCCCAGAACGTTCAAAGTGCTCTAGTTCTCATTTAGCGAGTCTATCCAGCCATATGTCGCGATTGTAGTAAACGGTCAACATGTACAGACTGACAAGAGTGCTTGGTTGTGTGACATTGGGACAATAGTGTTGCTCATGGGAATTACGGACCGTTAAAAAGTTTTACTTTGCAATTGTCTACCTTTGGTTATTTCTGTTGTTTCTACTTTTAATTTTATATTTTTGGGAGCCTTTTAAAAGTATCTAGTGACTTTTATGTACAGCGCGGTCTCAGGTGATGAGCAGTCCCATCTACGAGCATCTGAGTTAACGAGTGAGCCACTAGCAGAAAAAATGTATCGATTGACGAGCTTCCGCTCAGTTAACGAGTTGTCAGTGCGTGTGTTTGTTTGTATCCGCTGTTGAGTCTTGCTCCCAGGGCGTGAATCCTGGATCGCTTGCAGTTAATCAGTGAACTGATGTTGTTTGATTGGCTACTTTTCGCAAGACGAGTGTTCCACATGGTGGGCTCGGTGCTGGAACGGATTAAACTCGCTAACCGAGGCTCCACTGTATGCCAACGTTATTTTTACCTCCAAGTCATGCGAGGTGTCTCGTAAAGGCAACGAGTGTAGTACTTAAAGGAGCTTCTAGAGCACAGTGTGTTGAGAGAATTAGAAATATGACGGAGAAAGTAAGTTGTACAAAGTAATATCATTTCAATCACACAGCTTGAAATAGCCCGTCTGCATGAGAAATAATCGCACGTGATGTTCAGCAGCTGTCCAACAAAAAGCTAGTGGTTGTTTTGACGGTAACACTACTGTGTACATTCTGCGGGGTTGGGGACTTACTCGTTGCGCATTATTATTAATATTATTATTAGAACTAACCGTGTCGTAAGTGCCTACTTACTGCATAGTAAGTAGCAATGCACGTATAGTCACCAGACGACGCGGAGTTGAGCGCGAGGCCGAAGCCGTTAGATCCGTGGCGCACACACACCTCATACCACTAATTCGGACGGGTTGGGTCAACGCAACATCTGTCCAGTTTCTGTTGAACCATCTGGAGTGGCTGAAAAAGTCTCATTTAGACGATAATCGCTGTAATTTTTGATTGTTTGAATTTTTCATTGTAAACTTGCAATCGCTCCGCTCTGGGGTTCGTGAATTATACACTTGCCACCTTGCACCTATA